GTGTTGGGACATCTGGGCCTTCTCAGCAAACTTGGAGACCTCATCCATGACGAGTAGCATAGTTAATTGTTCTCCTACCTGGTCGAGTTTCACCCTCAAGGCATCGATGGTGAAGTGTACCTGTCTGACTCGTTCATTGAGCAGCTGATACTGTGCCTTCTGTTCCCGGCTCTGTGACCTTTCACTGTGGAGAGGAGGCGTAGACTAGTGGGGATTATCTTGTGGAGTCTGCACCTTAGGTGATTTGAGAGATTGTGTTTTTGGATACATTTTTCCACAGGAAGTTAAACTAACAACCAACCCTAACCAGTCAGAGTATCAGTGCAGTGTTAACTGGTGTCAGTAATTGATACATTTTTCTTTTCTTTGTGAACGACAGCTACAGTGGGTGGTGCAAAAAAATGTGATATGCATACCAGGGTAAGAGCTTTTTCAACCATTTTCCAGTCAAGCTTGTTTTGGTTTCCACTGTTGTTGTGCCAATTTTACTGGTGACCCTGAGCGTGCAGATGCAGCCTATCAAAACAAGGAAGGTCAAAACTCTCAGGTGTTGCGCCCGTCTGAGTGCTTTAAAGCCAAGTGCGTTATCGTTTTCACTCGGAGAGAGGCGGTGATAGTAGCAGAGCATGAAGGTTAGCAGACAGCACATCACTTTGGAGTGCTTTAAAGCCACACCTGATTTGTTTTGTAGTGCTGCCACTCTGCCTTGTTTTGCACACAATGGGGAGAAACAGCATATGCTGATGCTTCTTCCATCAAGCCCACATTTCTGTCCATGGCAGCAGTTGTGCAAAAAGCTCTAACGGCTCGTTGCTGACTGAAAGGCGGAGGAAAAGCTGCCGTTAGCCTCTGTGTGGGCAGGTGGAGGAGGATGCTAACGATGTTATCTGGCTGTCAGATTGATACAGACTGCTGAGAGCAGCACATTCACTGTTTCTCTGCTGGAAAAGTTTAAAGAGATAATTCAGCCTTTTTCTGCTGCCAGGTGCTGAATGTGGCCACTTAACAGCAGGTCTGCTGGGTAAAATGGACACTGTTACTGTCTACGATAGTTCAGATGTAATTCAAGTAAATAGGTAAACTCGAAAAAAGTTTAGAAAAATATTTTCAGCGTTATTTTTGATTAGTTCTAGAGAGTGGTTAATGAACATTGCTGCTAAATACTCAGATCACTTTTCTAGCATCAAATAGTAATTAGTATTTCGGACAGTATTTGTAGATACAGGAGACGTGGCGGCAGCCAGGTCAAATGAGTAAATCATTAAATCAGTGATTCATTATTGTCTGTATTATTTAAAATCTATATACAGATTAAAAAGGTTAAAACACTGTCGTGATAAAATGTAATTTTCCATGTATAAGTGTGTGTGTGTTTGTGACGGAGAAAAGAAGAGAAGCGTGAGCTAGACATATTACATTTACATTGATAGTAATTAAAGTGTTATGTGAGTCACAAGGCAGTAATGCACATAATTTGCAGTATGCTACTGTACCACTAAGACAACAATGGTGGTCTACGGCTGTTTAAATTTTAATATGACTTTTTACACTGGACTTCAGCCAAAAAAAAAAAATATTAATCACTGTTTTCAAATTTAAATAAAAGTCACCTTGTTTTTTTTTAAATATGTTTGGTAATATTTTATTTAACTAATTCCATTGATGACACCCAGGAGACAGACATGGACAAGTATTCATTTCCCTCAATGGTAAACTGGGATTAGGACAGACAGTAAAAGTAGTCAAGTGGTCCAGTACAAAAGTAAATGTCCGTCCAACACACAAGTCCTTCTGATTTCAGCCACTTGATTCTGTTGTCAAACAACTCTTTCCTTCCCCTCAGCCCTGGCTGCAGTGTCATATTACTACACAACCCCTGTCACCTACTTTCATTTTCTTAGAAAGTTTGACTGGACACGATCTCACACTTCCCACTGCTGACCTGGAACCTGGTGGGCTTTTGGGAGTCAGGCGCCAGATATCTGGGAGTGTTGATTCCCATCCCCGTTGAATGTGGTCTCATCCAGAGGTCTGTGATTGTTTCTTTCAGCCCAGTCAAGGTACAGAGCTGCTTTTGTTCCATCTCTCCATCAGCCCTGAATACAGTCCCACAGCCAGACAGACCTGCAGGCTACGTTATCAGGGCTCTTTGTCCAGCGTTGTTAGCCTACCATGGCCAGATCCTCAACCATTCATCACCACTGTGGGCAGAGAGTTTGTCTGAGACAGTGGAGGAAACAGAACAAATTCACTACAGGAGTCAATTAGGATCTGGTACAATTATGTCAATCACATGTTTGATACAATAATCAAGGTGAACATTAACAACAAAAATGGGATATTTTTGTCTGTCTATTTTATGTAATGTTTCTACCACAGTCACAAGATAGTGAGAACAGAGCATTACAGCCAATATGTTCAAAAGGTCAAGACTTTATTTGCTCTGAGCCTCGTCATCTGGTCTGATGTGAGTTGGCTATGCTGTTGCCTGTACCAAAAATGTCGTAGGTAACGTCGGCTCTGGTACCCATGCTCAGAGCTATGTGTTGTACCTTAAGGTAGTACTGTAGGCGTGACGTTCTGTTGTGATAGGCAGAAACTACTACACTTTTGTCCAAGCTGCATTTTTGAAGTTATAATAAAAAAACCTTTAAACCCAACAGGCCCAGATAAAGAGTCTTGTCTTCTTTTATTGTTCAGTGATCTTTCTCACAGGTGACATCCCTAAATTAACCCTGTGGTTGTCAACTAATGAATGATCAATTAATTAGTAAATAAAGAGATTGATTGCATTATTAATTACAACTTTCAGTTGCCTTAATGGAACCACAGTGTTTTGCTTCTAAAGAGCAACACAGCCAGAATAGAATTAGAATGAGTTTACTTCTGTGTAGCCCAGAAATGTTGACCTGTGTTTCCATTAGAACTAAACCACAAAAACAAGTACATAAAACGGTAAAATGATGCATATAAAATAAAATGAATAGATTTTCTTATGCTGACATTTGCTGCTGTACCGACCTGTGGCTCTATAAGAAGAGACAATACTTGAGTTACTAACTGAGTTACAAAATGTTTATTCACTTACATTCTTTTGGAGATACTTGCTGAGCGAGTGTCTTGTTGGTCTTGTTGGCAGATTATTTGCTGGTGTCATCATTTCCATGCGTCTTTTTCCTGCCGTTCGGCCGGGCCTAAACAGCCAATCGCAGTGATCTGTTACTGACAAACAGCAATGCAGATTCAACATGCTGACTCGTCTTTCTAACAAAGAGCAGTCATCGACTCAACCTTGGACGGCTATCAAGGTGGTTTATATTTAATCACATTGTTTTTATCCTTGAGGACCTGAGTTTGTTTTCCTGGACCTTCTTTCTCACAGTCTTTATGCTGTTGGTCCAGTCCCCTCCTTCACATTGACCATTGATTGACTTCCCTTAAGGTGCTTGTCTTTTTGGGATAAACAGCTTTACCTTCAATTTGAAAAATCCTTCAGTAAAATAAATCACCCATTTTGATTGACAGACACTAACAGCAAAAATGGATGCTAAAATGTAAATACAAATACAAACCTTTTGACAGGAGACAGATCTGGACTGCAGACAGACCAGTCAAACACATATATTATTGTAAGACATCTTAACCAAGCTCCTGGTGGGAGAAATTATCTCCTTGGACTCATCTGACGAGATTCTCAAAAAAAACTTGAGCCAAAGAATAAATGGACCTCCGACATACGTATACCGCAGGTTTAAAGTGTCCTCCTTTTAGTGTGATACAACCTTAAAATAGACTGTGTTTGACCACACCTTTTTCTAAGATGAGCACAAGCCCAGCACATTCACTGTTTCTCTGCTGGAAAAGTTTAAAGAGATAATTCAGCCTTTTTCTGCTGCCAGGTACCGAATGTGGCCAGTTAACAGCAGGCCTGCTGGGTAAAATGGACACTGTTACTGTCTACGACTAAAAACCATTCCTTGTCCTTTAGAAGAAGGACAAAAAAGGAAAAAAACATGTTTTTCATTTAATTAAAAACCTTTATAAATAAATAATGCTGCAATGGCCCCTTTTCCTTTCCTTTCCGTGTGTATAATGAATGCATGACAAGTATTGAAACTTTTTTTTTGTTTAACACACATCAGTACAGTAAAGACCTGACAGTTGAAAAACAATTTAAAAAAGGAAATTGACTACCTCAAATGTTTAAACTTATTAATGATAAATGAGTTCATGTGCTTGTGTTATAGGTTTTATCATTTCCAATCTTTTTAATACTTTATTAACTATAAACATTGAGAGAAATATTTAATATAAATAGGAAATATTTGGCAAGTGAATTATTCAAATGTGGAAATAATTAGACTTAATTATTAGATTTAAAATTGAAATACATATAATGTATATACAAACGTATTATTATTATTATTATTATTATTATTATTATTATTATTATTATTATTATTATTATTATTATTATTATTATTATTATTATTATTATTATTATTATTATTATTATTATTATTATTATTATTATTATTATTATTATTATTATTATTATTATTATTATTATTATTATTATTATTTAAAGCACACTCGGATAAACTTCACCAAAAAAGCCACACACCAAACTACATTGTTATTTTTCTTTTTGTTTCTTTTACTTAAGTTAAGAAAGTTACACAAAAGGTGGCAAAATTTCCAACAATAAATAATAAATAATAATTTTCATTGTTGCACGGGAACAAACAAAAACATTTTCTTCCAGAGCTATAACGATCTTTTTCTTTTAACTTATTAATAATTTACACATCTTTGGGAAAAATATGAAAACAAAACAAAAAATCCAAAAGCTCTCAGACAGACACCAAATGTCACACAAATGCCCCATGAAGCTTGTGGCAAAATAGAGGTATACCTTGTAAAAAAATGTTTTTTTTTTATTTGTTTTTTTTTTTAGTACTTGGTGGATTTTTTTTTTTTGGG